CTTGACCCCGCGGGCTCAGACAATCCACTCACCTCGGCCTCCCAAAGGCGCGGGATTACAGGCTGAACCACTGAGCCCGGCTTTTTTTTTTGGTAGAGACAAGGTCTTGTCATGTTGCCCAGACTGGTCTCAAATCCCTGGATTCAGGCAACCCTCTCGCCTTGGCCTCCTAAAGTGCTGGGATGACAGGTTTGAGCCACCGCGCAGGGCGATCTGTCCAATTATTGTGACCAGCACACACCAGCAGGTCCCACAGACCTTGGGGGCCTGGGCAGCTGTTCACTTTGGTTCCGGTGATTGGAGTCATCGGGACAGTTCAGAGGTTCAAGAAGGCATGTTTTTGCGGTGAGGGGCAGGTGGTCCCCGCCCTACGGCCCTATGGCCCTCTCACCAACCAGGCCCTCATAGGCCCTTCTCCGGACCACCATGATGTGGCCACCAATGGCTTGGGCCCCAGGCACCCCCAGGTTCTATGACTGCTCTCAGGCCTCCTCTGGAAGAGCCAGCAGCACCCCAAGAGCTGGGGTTGGCCTGAAAGAGAAGGAAGAGGCAGTGGTGGCAGGGATAGAAGAGGCTAGAGCAGCCACAGTGGCTGCAGGGACAGGAGGTGCCCCAACTGGCCCTGCAGTCACGGGCCCCACCACCTGCTGACCTTGGCCATGCCACTGCCCTGGCCTGAGCTGCCCATCCTGCTGGAGATACAACATGGCCTACTGTCCCTACTGAGCATTCCTGAGCACCTGACCCTGCATCTGCAGCCCTAGCCCCCTCAGCCTGAGCTGCTCCCTGGCCTCATGGCTCTCGCGGTCCCAAAGTCCCGGTGAAGACAAGAAACAGCAGCCAGATAAATGGACATGTGGCATTCACATGGCAGCTGGGAGCAGCGGAGGGTCCCAACCTTCTGGAGTGGGACGCGGGTGACAGTGGGCAGTGGGTGAAGGATATTTTTTTTTGAGTTGGAGTCTCACTCTGTTGCCCAGGCTGGAGTGCAGTGGCACGCTCACGGCCATCGCAGCCTCCACTTGCTGGGCTCTGGCGATCCTTCCGTCGTAGCCTTCCAAGTAGCTGGAACCATAAGTGTGCTCCACCACATCCAGCTAATTTTTTTGATTTATTGTAGAGATGAGGTCTCGGCAAGTTGCCCAGGCTGGTCTCGAACCCCTGGACTCCAGTGATCCTTCTACCTCGGCCTTCTAAGTAGCTGGAACTACAGGTGTGCACCACCACTCCCAGCTAATTTTTTGATTTATTGTAGACACGAGGTTTCGCCATGTTGCACAGGCTGATCTTGAACACTGAGCTCAGGCAGTTCTCTCCCCTCGACCTCCCAAAGTGCTGGGATTACAGGCTTGAGCCATCGCGCCCGGCCAGCGGTGAAGGATCTTGGCACATGCTCCCATCGTCTCTTAAGGTTAAGATGACCCATGACAAGTACACAGACAAGATCCAGCAACTGTATGGACGACACGTGTGAGATGAACAGGAATATTTGGGCTTGCATCCCGTCAAGCTTCGCAAGAGCACGTGGAAGGACTGGACTTGGACGTGGCCTGCAAGAAGCAGAAGGAAAAGAAGTTGGGCCTGAGATATGGTCTGTGCCTGGGCCTGTGCTCCCACCAGCCAGGTAGTCACTCCTCCCTAGGGTTCTCTTTGGAAAACCTCCAACCCTACACCTATCCAAGCCCCAAAATCAATTTCAATAAATTTACATTCCAAAAAAAACAACAAAAAATAATTATCATCTAACATATTCATTGTGCATATTGTCTGCCTACCCCCACTAACTATAACTTTGCCCTCTATGAGGGTAGCTTCTTTTTTTTTCTTTTTCTTTTTTTGAGTTGGAGTCTCACTCTGTCACCCAGACTGGAGCGCAGTGGCCGCT